TCCCCCCTCCAACTTTCCTTTCTCCCCTCCAACATTCCCCCCTCCTACTTCCCCCCCCCCCCCAATTTTCCTTTCTCCCCCCCAACATTCCCCTCTCCTACTTCCCCCCCCCCTATAACGCCCCTTTCTCCCCCTCCCTTCCATCTCACCCTCCTTCCATTCCTCTCACGCTCCCTCTCTGCCCCTCCCTCTTCTTTCCCTCTGCTCCTCACTTCGGTGTATTTCTACTATTCATCGATATATTCAGCTTCTTATTTTATACTAAAATAAAAAAAAAAGGCAACAGTATACAAGTGCATTCATGTTGTTTTAAAAACTGGCACAAACTATATTTCCCCCCTCCCCCCCTCCCCCCTATGACCCCATAGGGTCAAACTTGGCAACTTGAAGACGTGTGTGGACTTCAACTCCCAGAATTCCCCAGCCAGCTATGCTATGCTGGCTGGGGAATTCTGGGAATTGAAGTCCACACGTCTTCAAGTTGCCAAGTTTGAGGTCCCCTGCGCTAGAGCATTGCTGGCTGTAGAAAAATGGAGTTCTTTTTCACTTTAATCTTTCTTTTTCCACTTGTAGTACAAATAGGAGCTTGCACACAGTTCAGGAAATGTGTGTTGTTACATTCCAAAATGTTCCTGCAGTGGCTACACTCTGTCCAAATTTCTCAACACTGCAGGACCCCAGGGATTTATAGCCTGCCACACTGGTTAGGACAGCTCCTGCCCCACCTGCATGGAAACATTTCAAATATTTTCTTTGAGCCATGGTCTTATTTCCACTTTTAGGTGTTGCCGGGGCTGGGAGGCTGTTTTCTCATGATATTATCAAAGCGATGGCCGACATCAATCAGAGACCCATCATCTTTGCATTGAGTAACCCCACCGTGAAAGCCGAATGTACGGCTGAGGAGGCGTACACGCTAACAGAGGTAAGCTAAAATTCTCATATTAACAAATTAACAAGAGTTGGAAGGGACCTTATAGGTCTTCTAGGCCACCCTCTTGCCCAAGCAGGAGACCCTACACCAGTGATGGGTCACCTCGGGTGCCAAAAGGTGTCTCTCCCCGCCCCTCCCGAAGCGCTCTGACTTCCAGTGGGGCCACTAGGTCCGTTTTTCACCCTCCCCAGGCTCCAGAGGCTTTCAAGGAGCCTGAGGAGGATAAAAACACCCCAACATGCAAACCGGAAGCCCATTACCGAACTTCTGGTTTGCACGTTGGGTGGTTTTTCGCCCTCCGGAGGCTTTAAAGAAGTCTCTGGAGGGTGAAAAACGGCCAAAAATCAAGGCCGAAAATCAAGGCCGAAAATTAGCTGGGAGTTGACGGGGCAACGCCTCGTGTGCCCTCGAAAATTTCTCCGCCTGCCACCTGTGGTACGTGTGGCATAGGTTTGCCCTCATGGCTCTACACCATTTCTGACAGATGGCAGTCCAGTCTCTTCTTGAAAGCTTCCAGTGACGAAGCCCCCAGAACTTCCAAAGGCGACTTCTGTTCCATTGGTTGGTTGGTTCTCACTGTCAGAAAAATAATTCCTGATTGAATCTATCCGTGTTCAGTTTCCCTCCAACGTTCCTCGTCTGGCCTTTGGGTGCTTTGGAAAACAGTTTGACTCCTTCCCCTCTGTGGCAGCCCCTGAGATATTGGAAGACTGCTATCATGTCTCCCCTGGTCCTTCTCTTCACTAGACTAGCTATGCCTAGTTCCTGCAACCGTTCTTCATATGTTTTAGTCTTCAGTCGCCTAATCATCTTGGTTGCTCTTCTCTGCACTTTTTCTAGAGTCTCGACATCTTTTTTATAGTGTGGTGATCAAAACTGGCTGCAGTACTCTAGGTGTAGCCTTATTAAGGCTTTATAGAGTGGTATTAGTACCTCCCTTGTTCTTGATTGTATCCCCCTGTTAATGCAACTTAGGATTGCATTGGCTTTTTTGGCTGCCGCTGCACACTACTAGCTCATATTTAATTGATGGTCTACTAAGACTCCAAGGTCCCTCTCTCTCTCAGTTACTGCAGTTAAGCCTGGTTTCATCCAGTCTATATGTGTTCTGAACAATCTTAGAGCATGATGTTTCTTCTCCTGGGCTTCGCAGCTTGGCTCAATTGTTGGAGCTGCCCAAAGTTAAGTCCTCTGCATCTGGGATGGAGCTGCTCTCTTCCATCATGATACACTGAGGTCATCTGATCTGGGAAGAGCTCATGTTACAGATAGCCCTCGAGTTAGGGACTACAATTGAGCACAGATTTATGGCTTGTAAATTGTGCGGGTTGTTAAACGGATCATGTGAATGCGCTTGATTTTATGACTTTTTTTGCCCGCAGTGGGCATCTTTTTTTGGGGGGGGGGGCCTAGAAACTAGAAATAAACTCCTATTTCTGGCCAAAATAAATTGAAAATTGTGTGGCTGCAGGACGCCACGACCCTGCTAGACTTTCGTAAGACCCCCCTAAAGCAGGGTTCCCAAACTTGGCAACTTTAAGACTTCTGGACTTCCAGAATTCCCCAGCCAGCAGAATTCTGGGAATTGAAGTCCACAAGTCTTAAAAGTTGCCAAGTTTGGGGACCCCTGCCCTAAAGACATGTTTCCAGAAGTACCTTGACTCATCTTTCTGTTTGACAGGGCCGATGCCTCTTTGCAAGCGGCAGTCCGTTTGGACCTGTGAAGCTGAGTGACGGCCGGTCCTTCATACCGGGCCAGGGAAACAACGCCTATATATTTCCAGGTAAAGCCTGGGAGTTCCTGCCTCGTTGATTTGTTGTTGTTTTTTCTAATTGCTCAAGAAGTAGTGCAAATAGGAAGCCCTCCCAGAAGGAGGAGCTCTACTTGATGGTAAGGTTACATGAACCTTGCAAGTCCCAAAGCGAGGCTTTACGGACCCAGACGCAAGGGAGGTCCCTTCTGAAAGGCTGGCCATTCCCACATTCCTTCTGGCAGCTCAGCTGCCTCTGATCTGACTGTTGCCTTACCTGTCTCCCAAGGTCACTCCCACACACAATTAGATTCTCACTGCTTTGCACAGCACAGAGTTTCCTTTCCATAGAGAGGCCTGCCTAAAATGTTCAGGGAGTTCAGTTCTGGGAAATCTTCCTTCCTTCCTTCCTTCCTTCCTTCCTTCCTTCCTTCCTTCCTTCCTTCCTTCCTTCCTTCCTTCCTTCC